CGCGGGGGGGGGGCGGCGGTGTGGACAGAATTGCCGCTTCTCGCTTCATTTAAGTGATCTGATAAATGATCAGATCACTTGAAAACGAGCGGCGGCTCAACACTGTACACTTAGCTCTGCTTGTCCGGAGCGGGGCTAAGTGTACAAAAAAACGACTCGCCCGGCGCCCGAAACTGCATGTCCCGGGCGTCGGGCGATAGGAATTCCACACCCCTGCATCATTGTGAGAGAGAGTTCTGCCCATCACTGAGAACAAAAGAGGAACTGTGAGATCATGTGACCAGATCAAAGGCCTTAGCAAAAAAAAACTCTGTATGTGCTTACTAAAAGTACTATATAATTTCCATTTGAGCTGCTGCTTCTTTAAGTGTATGTAAACCCTAACAATTAACTTCTCTTACTGGCTGCCTTTCGGTTATACCATTTAAAAGCATTTTGTTAAACCTGTTCGGTCAGCCCTCCTAGTTCTTCTCTTGAACTACAGAAGACAGAGGTACTTTAGCAAAACAAACTGGGCATGTCTAGCACTTTCTGTACTGTTCAGTGGCTAATGTGCATAACTATTATGTGCTCCTTGTGCAGAGAACATAACACCATTATATGCTGCATGATGGGCACAAAGATCTATACACTTTTATGTGCAAGTTAGGCTGTAAAGTGTTTGTTTGAGTGACATAAAGCCTTTGCCGAATCTAATGCAGAACTTTGAAGTTAAACATTTATTAACAGAGGAATCCAATGATGGCTGATGACTTCTATGGCAAATGTCCAGTTTTCGGTTTGGCATGCTTTACCTTGTTATAATGTAATTTGTTTGCTTTTTTCGCATGTTATCTTGTATTGCTCTTTACCAACTTTCCTGATGACACATTTTGAAAAAGTAAACTTCCAGTCATCTCTTCTCCACTTTAAAGAACCATGCTAAGACTAAAAGAGTTTTGCAATCCCAATATATGTATTTAAAATAGAATCCTTTCTATGATGTAACATTTGCAGTGTCACCTGCCTCTTATTGTCAAATATAAGTTCATAAATGACAATGTTTGCTGTGTGCCATTCCTCTTCCTTGGTACAAGGTTGCAGGTGGATAGTAGGGATACACATGGATTGTACTTTCTGAAGTTGGACCCTTATCATATACCTACAAAATAAATCACTGGACCAAATGCACTTTATTTTGGTGCACTTTGTTTTTGTGATATAAGAATTAAAGGAGAACTATGAGGTGAGTTAGGGCCGACCTGTGACAAAGAAGCTGTCGCAGGTCGGCTAGTTTGATTGTGAAGTGCGCAGAAACATGCACCGATACGCTCACTTCCCGATCGTTTCCCTGCATTAAGCGGTGACTGTCAGTCACCGCTCCCAGCAGGGATTCGCCCCCTCCGATCCTTCAACGCTGCCTGGAGATACGAACGGGAGGGGCGGGCACAGCTGGCTCTGCCTCTAGATAGACAGAGCCAGCTGTCACTCACGCACCTGGGTGGATCCAAACAGTAGTGTCGGGATCTGTCCCAGCTGTGGCGCTCTCGGCATATTGCGGGCAATAGCCCACTATATACTGAGCTTTGGGTCACGGGAGGAGGTTAGTACTGTATATGTCCTCCGGTGACCCTAAAGAGAACTATTGGGAAAAACACTTACCCCGTAGTTCTTTTTTAAGCTTGATACACTTTATCTTAAGTGATAGGATTTATACTATATGCACTTTATTGACATAATGTGGGCATTTTATTAATATAATTTACATTGATGGCACTATACCATGTTGATGAGTTGAAAGTGTAAAGGTGTATATATTACTTTTAGGTATGGGCAACTAGATCACTTTATTTTATTTATTTTAGTTGTGACACTGGAACGTTTTTAGGTTAACAGATCCTGAAGAAGAGCTCAGCTCCCAATATGCAACCAGAGCTTTCCCATACCTGCTTCTGTAAGGTCTACAAGATGTAGTAAAGGGGGTGGCCCAGGCACAGTGTTTCAGGTTGTTGGGTACTTAATAGCTGCTTCATCATTGCAAGTAAGGGAGGACAAATTGTTAATTGGATATATTGAGTAGCTTCTAATTTGTACACAACATGGTTTTAATTTACTGCAGATATTAAATAATTGTTTTGAATTCTATTTGCTTTTTAGGTAACCTGATGTTTACTGTGTGACGGTTAAGCACACACCTTTTATTTGAGATGGATTCAGAGGCGCGTGACAAGCAAAAAAGGGATTTGGTCCTTTCCAATTCAAAGCAAGACTTAAAGCGTCATAAACTAGTTATAGGAACTAGTAAACATTATGTGTGTGGCTACTTTGCTGCCTTTACAAACGTTGCAATCACCTTTCCCATCCAGAAAGTGCTCTTCCGACAACAGCTGTATGGACTAAGAACCAGAGATGCTATAAGACAACTAGAGAGGGATGGGATCCGCAACTTGTACAGGGGGATACTCCCCCCACTGGTGCAGAAAACAACAACTCTCGCCCTGATGTTTGGCCTTTATGAGGACTTCTCCAGCCTTTTGCTAAGGCATACAAATTCTCCTGAGATTGTTACAAAGAGTGTAGCAGCAATCCTTGCAGGAACGACAGAAGCCATACTTACGCCTTTTGAGAGAATTCAGACTTTGCTGCAGGATTACAAACATCACAATCGATTCACTAATACTTTTCAGGCCTTCAAAGTGCTTCGGCCCTATGGACTTGGGGAGTATTACCGTGGTTTCGTTCCTATATTGGTCCGCAATGGACCAAGCAATGCTTTATTTTTTGGTCTTCGCAAGCCAATCAAAGAGTGTTTGCCGGAAGCTAAAAGCTATAGTGCTAACTTGATCAATGATTTCATCTGTGGTGGACTGCTTGGAGCCATGTTGGGATTTCTCTTTTTCCCCTTGAATGTGGTGAAGGCCCGCATGCAGTCGCAGATTGGAGGCGAATTTGTCTCCCTTGGAAAAGTCCTTATGACCATATGGACAGAACGTGATGGAAAACTGACCCACCTATTCCGTGGGGCCCATCTAAACTATCACAGATCCATTCTGTCTTGGGGTATCATCAATGCAACATATGAGCTGTTATTGAAACTATTCTAAGGTGGACTGTAAGAGCCTACCCTATTATATGTTTTTCTGCAGACTAGGGATCAAATTTATTACAAAACCAAATAGAAGATTGTATGTATACACCACTAAATATTACTGCTGATCTTTTTATCTCTGTATGAACAGGCAGGTGGTTCAAAATACTATTAAGTCTTCATGTTGGGTTAACAAAGTGCCTGTCTGTTCTTTTTGTGTAAGTGAAAGCTTTTTTTTTGCTGACAGAGTAATATGACTGTATACATGCTTGGTTATTGCCATCAGAAAGCTTTATATATCTGAGCTTTAAAGTATGCAGTCTGTTCTTTGGTCTCAGGAGGCCATCTAATATAATTGTCACTGTTGTGTTTAACTGTATCCAGCTCCTATCTATTAGAGACGTTTGTGGATCCTATGAGACACATTTCTATTATATTTACAAACAGTACTGGTGTTTGGGGAGTGGAAAGTAAGTTTTTGCCAGAGGTCCCATTACTGTTGGGGTGATCCCGTATGTATGTGTTCATAATTGTTTTGCTGTGGATTTATGTTTGTTCACATGAGCCACACACAGTATCTTAGAGTAGTGGGAGAAGGAAGCAGAAGCTGATTTATTAGCACAGCTCCTGCTTTGTATTGTGCAGGCCTTGTTTTTCTACACTTTCATTTGTCTTTTTCTGTCAGAAAAAGAAACAGGTTTATTTTCTAGATGCAGCCACTATTCTATTCCACCCTGTACTTAAAATGTATGTTAATCCAGAAACAAAATTATAGGAAACTGCAGCTTATCCGTCTTTAGATGTGAAGGCTGCATTGATTTGTTCCTTTATTTCTTACCTGATGATCCTACTTCCTGTCTTAGGGTGACAACCCTCAGGGCCGGTGCACACCTAGGTGATTTATCACGCAAAACACAGATTCACATTGAAGTCAATGAAGGCTGCTCACACCTTTGCGGTTTGTCAAGCTACAAGGTGCAGGAGCTATTTTCAGGCGGTTGTCGCACGGTTTGGGTCCCCTAGACATCTCCATGCATTGAAAAACGCGCGGCAACTGCGCGGTTTACAGTGAACAGTCGTGTGATCGAAAACGTGCGAAAACAGCTCGACATCTGAATCGCCTAGGTGTGAACCTAGCCTCACTCATCATACTGCATCTAGGGACGATCAAGTTGCTCCCCTGATTTGGACTACAAACATACCAGGCTTAGTAATTAACAATAAGATAGCTGGGAAAGCTGATAACATTGTTTGAAATTTTACTTCAGTACATAGGAAGGTCTCTGTTAAAGGATTTTTTACATTATCAACAGGTATGTATCTGTACTTGCAGAAAATGTTCTTAACCTTAAAAAAAAAAAAAAAAAAAAATGGAATGCAGCCACCACTATTTAGGAGGTAGGCTGCATTATATTAAATTTCCACTTTCTCCTCCAACAGCCAACCAAGAGACTGTTTCTTCACCCTGAAAAGGCCAGAAAATATTCAAACTATTTATTTAATTATAATACATTTTTGTTTGAGTTTAGAAATACTTTGGCTACATTATGCCATCTTACCTGCAGACATCGTTAAACTGGTCTTTTTAACAAAAACTCTGCCAGGTGCTTTCCCAGTTTTGATAAGTTTTTTTTGTTTTTTTTACATTTTTTTTATTTATTTTTTTTTGGTTAGGAGGAATGCCGTCCTTTTTGAAATTTTAGTTCTCTATTATTTTTTGTACTTTTAAAAAGAACAAAACGTATATATTGCCAAAATGATACGACTGTGATAAAAAAAAGAAAAGTGAGTGGTGTTTGTCAATATTTGCACTTTTCACATGTTGCTACATGTAATTGAGTGCTCTTTATGGTTTTCTGCAATGTTCTTTGTAAATTGTCATTGGTAAGACAGATTTTTGTTCATTATAATGAAAAGGGAATTAAAGATTTCCTGTCTGGTAAACATAATTTTTTGTTATTTTTAACAAATACATAAAGTATAATGTTTTCATTTCATTCAAAAGTGAACCCATTTAATTCTAAATATTTGACTTTTTAAATGAAACTGTGAAGGTTCTCATTCATCCAGGTCATGGTATATCTGTAAAAAATAAGTCAAGGCAACTGGACTTGCTGTATCACAGAGCTAAGGCCGTGCGGTGAGGAGAGAGACGCTCGGCCAGGTTCTGACAGCCGGCGCCTCTCTCTCCCCTCACCGCTCGGCCTTAGTTCTGTGCAGCGGCTCCGCCCTCCGCCCCTCCCCCAGCCACGGCTGAAGTGCTTCTTTCACTTCTCCTTGGCTCCCCCGCTGCCTCTGCCCAGGAGAGCAGCGGAGATCAAGAGGAGAAGCTGAGCCCCCGTGTGCGTGCCCGAGTGGCAGAGGATCGGTACATATCAGTGATATGTACCAATCCTCTGCGCAGGACAAACACTGGAGCGATCAGCTGATCACCCCAGTGTTTGTAAATAACTGGGGACACATAGTACTATGTGTCCCCAGTTATGAATGAACAGGATGTGATTTACATCACTTCCTGTTTATTCATGAGTTTCTCAATGGGGAGAAGCACTCTTTACAGAGGCTCCTCCCCATTCGGAAACTGGATGATAGTAAAATATTTTCTGAATGAATGGGAAGCCTCTGTGCTTTCTATTCATTTAGAACAGAGGCTGCAGAAAAAGAGTGAGGACTTTGTGTCCTCAATTAATTTTTCCATTTTAAAAGGGAAATATCAAGGGGCTGTTTAGACCCCTGATATTTCCCTGAAGCCCCCAAAGAGTAAAAAAAAATGTAAATAAGAAATAGTAAAAATAAAATAAAAAATAGCAAAAAAACCACGAAATCCTGGAGGCAGGGCGCTGCGTGACGCCACACGTCTGTTGGGGGGGCATGTTTTGTTGTCTGGGGCGCAAAAGGAGCTGGCTACGGCTATGCTCCCGCGGTGTCTGACGTATGTAAATAAATTGTGCACTCCTGTTGCTTTGTGGGTCCAGCACTCTATGAACAAGGGTTGCATTGCTTACATCAGGGATCCAGTCTGTTTTATTGGGACCTTTTATCTAATTATGAAGAGTAGTCATTGCCGTAATGCTTCATTATGAACAGGTCTTCAGTCTAGTGTTGTGAGTTGCCTACACTCCATACAGCGTTATGACCTTCTAGAATGAGAGTGGTGCTTGTGGCGATGGCACGGATGGTGCCGTGTAAAACTCCAAAGTTTGAACATGGAATAGAATCATAAATTCTGGATTTATTGATTTTAGATAAACATCACAATAGTCATGAGAAGCAGACATTTCGGGGCCACGCAGGTTCCCTACTTCAAGACGACATAGTGACAATGCGTTGCCTCTAAACGTTGGCTTCTCATGACTAATGTGATGTTGATCTTATAAATGCAAAATGTATGATTCTATTCCATGTGTGCTGCTGACTTTCCATTCAAACTCAGGTCTTTAGTCTGGCTCCTGTAGAAGTCCCATGTCAGGTTTTCATGTAATTATCTGTGTAGGCATGCTTTCCTCCGGTGTTGTGGCCTGTATGATGGAAGAAGCACCTCCTGAGTGTGTTGTAGCCCCGAAATGTTGGTCTACTGTGGTACACTGTTGAATGGGAATTTAAAAAAAATCTGAAGGCCTCTGTCTAATAGATAACTGAAAAAGGAGGGAGGAAGGCATGATCTACTGTTATTTTTGTATTCCTTTCAATAAACTTCTTTTAAATGCCCTTACCTAGAGTTTGTTCTGGGTTGGACACTTAAATAATTTGTGAGGCAGCTTTGATAGCCAGGCAATTAACATTTTTAGAATTAAAAGTTGCCAGTGAGCGCATCCATGTTTCTCACAGGAAAAGCTTCCTTAAGAGAGAGTTACATGTTGTATTCTTGTCTGCAATGTACTTTTTAATCTAATGCTTGGTGATCCTATAGATAGTCACATGCAGGCTGACAGTGGTCATGTAATAATAGGTTGACATGTCAGTTAGTTTGGGCTCACGTCCTGGGAGACATTAAGCCAATTTTTGTATATCACTCGGCATGTGGCTTTATTATACCAGTTTAAATGTTTTGTACATAATGTTGCTACCATTGTCAAATGTGATTTTATTGTAGAAGAATGCATTAGGAATTAGGATTTTCTAGGTAGTGGGCCTGTGAGATGAAAATAGATTTAAATCCATTTATCTGGCCGTATGCCCTTCCCCAGCATGCCAGAAGAGCCAACTACTACCCATTTTCACCTACATCTTCTCTGTTCAGCCCCTTCTTGCAAATCCTCAGTGTTGGGTCCTGCTCCTCCTATGCACTTAATGCCGCATTGCATTGAAAAGTCCATAGTTTCCAGCAGGTACGGACGTTCCACTGAAATGAATGGAGATTGTGGAGATTGTGGCGCACATGTAGACCCAACAGTCAGGATTTTTAAGAAGAGGCTGTGTGACTCTCAGCAAGCTCCACAGAGAATATCTTGGCAGAGTTGGCCCTCTAAGACTAAGTGCACTTTCCCTTATAATTTCTCACTTAAATTATTTATATTGCTCTCCAAAATGAATGCAACATAGACAGTACTTCCTGTCTCTTATCTGTATATTAACGTTCCCTTGCAAAATGTCCCATGATGATGGTGCGTATCTACACTCCCTGTTTGACAGCTAACAGCAGGCATGGGAGCCTTCTGCTTTCTATTAGACCCCACTGTAGTCCCCACTTTAATGGGCAGAATAATTTAACGTATTAAATCTAAAATACGTTTTAATGTATATAGTGTGTTTTTCTACATTTTTGTCCATTTGTCATAAAAATTAGGGCAAAATGTAATAATTATTTAGGTGGGTAAATTAGTCATAGAGGTATTACTGATGCTGCTAGATTTTGTCTAGTCATCTATACATCAATGGCTTCTAGTCAGAAAAGGGGTTAAGAGCAAGGCATTGATACTATTGTCCAAATACTGCATATTTTTTTGCAAACAAACTAATTGCTCTTATGTGCTAGTGTGCAAAGCACATTATGGCATATTTCTTCCACAGCTTCTTCACTCTCCAGCCATTGGGTAACCGCATGAGCACTGTTGTATCGCCTCGACACCTTGCATCTTAGTTACTGAACACTGCACATGCAGACACTGTACACAAAGAAAATGTGCTAGCAGACGGGTAAAGCAATTTTTTGGCAGAAGAAACATACAAAGTCTATTCTATCTGCTTGTGGTCCTTTTTAAAAAAAAAATATATTTATTTTTTCGTATATTATGTTCAGCTTTAAAGGTTTACTGAAATTGTAGCATGCAATTGCTGTCATTTAAAATACTTGCATCTAGAAGATTCACCTGCAGTGAATGCTTGGTGAATGCCAGATTAGTTGCTTTCAAAGATGCCCCTGCAAATGTATAAATGAAAAATAATGATTGGCTT